CCGGGTGGGGAACCGGGTCGGGAACCGGATCAACCCGACCATCCGGTTGGGGAACCGGACCAATCGGACCGTCCGGGTGGGGAGCCGAATCGACCGGGTGGGAAATCGGACCAACCGGGTGGGGAACCCGGTGCGGTTCCGGGTCGGGAGCCGGGTCAACCGGACCATCCGGACGGGGAACCGGATGATCCGGGTGGTCCGGGTGGGGAAGCGGACCAACCGGACCAACCGGGTGCGGTACCGGGTGGGAAACCGGACCAAACGGGTAGTGATCCGGACGGGGAACCGGATCACCCGGGTCGGGAACCGGATCGACCGGGTCTGGGGTGGGGAACCGGACCATCCGGGTGGGGAACCGGGTGGGGTACCGGGTCGGGGAACCGGATCAACCGGACCATCCGGACGGGGAACCGGATCATCCGGGTGGTCCGGGTGGGGTGCCAAATCGACCGTGCGGGGAGTCGGACCAGCCGGACCATCCGGGTGGGGTACCGGGTCGGGAACCGGATCAACCGGACCATCCGGATGGGGAACCGGATCATCCGGGGAGGGAACCGGATCGACCGGGTCTAGGGTGGGGAACCGGACCATCCGGGTCGGTCGGGTCGGAACCCGGATCCGGAACCGGGTGTTGAACCGTATCAACCGGATGGGAGCCGGATGGACCCAATCGGACGGACAAGCCGGACCGAAAACGGGTGGGGAACCGGATCGGAACCGGGTGGAGAGCCGAATGGGCCGGTTCGGTCGGATCAACCGGGCCGGAAACGGGTGGGTAACCGGATCAACCGCCCCAGCCGGGTGAGGGATCGGGTCGACCCGGTAGGGAGCCGGATCGACCGGATCGGAACCGGTTGGGAAACCGGATTCACCGGACCGACCGGATCGACCGGATCAACCGGGTGGGGAGCCGGGTCAACCGGACGGGGAACCGGATGGACCGGACCAGCCGGATCATCCGGGTTGGAGCCGGGCGGGGAACAGGATCAACCGGTTGAGCCGGGTCGATGGATCCGGATCCCACCACCCTAGGCGGGATGGATCCGGGTCGCACCCCCCCGGTTGGGATGGATCCCGATCACCCCTCTCGGGATGGGATGGATCCGGATCTCACCACCCTGGACGGGATGGATCCGGATAACCCCGCCGGGGGGTTGGGATGGATCCGGATCACACCACCCTGGATGGGATGGATACGGATCGCACCTCCCCGGTGGGGATTGATCCGGTTCGAAACACCGCGGGTGGGATGGGTCCGGTCCGAACCACCCTGGAAGGGATGGATCCGGACCGGGCCACCGTGGATGGGACGGGTCCGGTTCTTTGACGGCTCCCGGGTGGGTGTGGGTCCTTGGACGGGCCCACACCCTCCCTAGAGCCCTTTATTCTTTGGGTCACACCTTCGTTCTCGACCGGGGTTCTTTGCGGGCTCTAGGGTGGGTGTGGGTCCTTGCACGGACCCCTACCTTCCCTACCGGGTCGGGAACCGGATCGACCGGACCATCCGGACGGGGAACCGGATCATCCGGGTCATCCCGGAAGGGAACCGGATCGACCGGGTCTAGGTTAGGGAACCGGACCATCCGGGTGGGGAACCGGGTCCGGTACCGGGTCGGGAACCGGATCGACCGGGTCTAGGGTAGGAAGCCGGACCATCCGGGTGGGGAACCGGATCGACCGGGTCTAGGGCAGGAAGCCGGACCATCCGGGTGGGGAACCGGGTCCGGTGCCGGATCGACCGGGTCTAGGGTAGGAAGCCGGACCATCCGGGTGGGGAACCGGGTCGGCCAACCGGGTCGGGTACCGGATCGACCGGATCTAGGGTAGGAAGCCGGACCGTCCGGGTGGGGAAGCGGGTCGGGTACCAGGTCTAGGGTAGGAAGCGGGACCATCCGGGTGGGGAACCGGGTCGGGTACCGGGTCGGAAACCGGATCGACCGGACCAACCGGATGGGGAACCGGATCATCCGGATCATCCGCATGGGGTGCCGAACCGACCGTGTCGGGAGTCGGACCAACCGGGTGGGGTACCGGGTCGGGAACCGGATCGACCGGACCATCCGACCGGGGAACCGGATCATCCGGGTCATCCGGGAAGGGAACCAGATCTAGGTTAGGGAACCGGACCATCCGGGTGGGGAACCGGGTCGGGTACCGGGTCGGGAACCGGATCGATCGGGTCTAGGGTAGGAAGCGGGACCATCCGGGTGGGGAGCCGGGTCGGGTACCGGGTCGGGAACCGGATCGACGGGATCTAGGGTAGGAAGCCGAACCATCCGGGTGGGGAACCGGGTCGGGTACCGGACCGGGAACCGGATCCACCGGACCAACCGGATGGGGAACCGGATCATCCGGATCATCCGCATGGGGTGCCGAACCGACCGTGTCGGGAGTCGGACCAACCGGGTGGGGTACCGGGTCGGGAACCGGATCGACCGGACCATCCGACCGGGGAACCGGATCATCCGGGTCATCCGGGAAGGGAACCGGATCTAGGTTAGGGAACCGGACCATCCGGGTGGGGAACCGGGTCCGGTACCGGGTCGGGAACCGGATCGACCGGGTCTAGGGTAGGAAGCCGGACCATCCGGGTGGGGAGCCGGGTCCGGTACCGGGTCGGGTACCGGACCGACCGGGTCTAGGGTAGGAAGCCGGACCATCCGGGTGGGGAACCGGGTCCGGTACCGGGTCGGGTACCGGATCGACCGGATCTCGGGTAGGAAGCCGTACCATCCGGGTGGGGAACCGGGTCGGGTACCGGGTCGGGAACCGGATCGACCGGGTCTAGGGTAGGAAGCGGGACCATCCGGGTGGGGAGCCGGGTCGGGTACCGGGTCGGGAACCGGATCGACGGGATCTAGGGTAGGAAGCCGAACCATCCGGGTGGGGAACCGGGTCGGGTACCGGGTCGGGAACCGGATCGACCGGGTCTAGTGTAGGAAGCGGGACCATCCGGGTGGGGAACCGGGTCGGGTACCGGACCGGGAACCGGATCCACCGGACCAACCGGATGGGGAACCGGATCATTCGGGTCATCCGGGAAGGGAACCGGACCGACCGGGTCTAGGGTAGGAAGCCGGACCATACGGGTGGGGAACCGGGTCGGGTACCGGGTCGGGAACCGGATCGACCGGGTCTAGGGTAGGAAGCGGGACCATCCGGGTGGGGAGCCGGGTCGGGAACCGGATCGACCGGATCTAGGGTAGGAAGCCGAACCATCCGGGTGGGGAACCGGGTCGGGTACCGGGTCGGGAACCGGATCGACCGGGTCTAGTGTAGGAAGCGGGACCATCCGGGTGGGGAACCGGGTCGGGTATCGGGTCGGGTACCGGATCGACCGGATCTATGGTAGGAAGCCGGACCATCCGGGTGGGGAACCGGGTCGGGTACCGGATCGACCGGATCTAGGGTAGGAAGCCGAACCATCCGGGTGGGGAACCGGGTCGGGTACCGGGTCGGGAACCGGATCGACCGGGTCTAGTGTAGGAAGCGGGACCATCCGGGTGGGGAACCGGGTCGGGTACCGGGTCGGGTACCGGATCGACCGGATCTATTGTAGGAAGCCGGACCATCCGGGTGGGGAACCGGGTCGGGTACCGGGTCGGGTACCGGATCGACCGGGTCTAGGGTAGGAAGCTGGACCATCCGGGTGGGGAACCGGGTCGGGTACCGGGTCGGGAACCGGATCGACCGGGTCTAGGGTAGGAAGCGGGACCATCCGGGTGGGGAACCGGGTCGGGTACCGGCGGATCGACCGGACCATCCGGATGGGGAACCGGGGTGCCGAACCGACCGTGTGGGGAGTCGGACCAACCGGGCCAACCGGGTGGGGTACCGGGTCGGGAATCGGATCAACCGGACCATCCGGCCGGGGAACCGGATCATCCGGGTCATCCGGGAAGGGAACCGGACCGACCGGGTCTAGGGTAGGAAGCCGGACCATACGGGTGGGGAACCGGGTCGGGAACCGGATCGACCGGGTCCAAGGTAGGAAGCCGGAACATCCGGGTGTGGAACCGGGTCGGGTGAGGGACCGGTTCGACCCGGTAGGGAGCCGGATCAACCGGGTCGGAACCGGGTAGGGAACCGGATGGGGAACCGGATCTACTGGACCGGCCGGCTCGACCGGGTGGGGATCCGGGTCAACCGGACTTGGAACCGGTTGGACCGGACCGGACGGGGAACCAGATCTACCGGACCGGCCGGATCGACCGGGTGGGGAGCTGGGTCAACTGGACGTGGAACCGGATGGACCGGACCGGCCGGATCATCCGGGCTGGAACCGGGCGGGGAACCGGATCGACCGGGTCGATGGATCCGGATCCCACCACCCTAGGCGTGATGGATCCGGGTCACACCACCCCGGTTGGGATGGATCCGGATCACCCCACTCGGGATGGGCTGGATCCGGATCACCCCACCCGGGATGGGATGGATCCGGATCTCACCACCCTGGACTGGATGGATCCAAATAACCCCACCCGGGATGGGATGGATCCGGATCACACCACCCTAGATGGGATGGATCCGGACCGCACCCCCCGTGGGCTCCGGGGCCTCCTTTTCCCGGTGCCAAGGCCCGGATGACCGGGGGGGAGTGTAAACCAGGGTGGGAGCTTCCTTTCCACGGGTTCATATTCTTCCCAAGGGTCCATTTGACCGGCTGGAATGAGACAAACGCTCCAATGGACCGGCCAAGGTTGAATTCCACCCTTGCATGGGCTCGGGTGGGCTCCGGGACCTCTTTCTCCCGGTGCAAAGGCCCGGATGATCTGGGGGAAGTGTAAACCAGGGTGGGAGCTTCCTTTCTACGGGTTCATATCCATCCCAAGGGTCTCTTCTTGACCGGCTGGAATCAAACAATTGCTCCAATGGACCATCCAAGGTTGAAATCCACCCTTGCACGGGCTCGGATGGGCTCCGGGACCTCCTTTTCCCGGTGCAAAGACCTGGGTGACCGAGGGGACGTGTAAACAAGGGTGGGAGCTTCCTCTCTACGGGCTCATATCCATCCCAAGGGTCCTTTTGACCGGCTGGAATGAGGCAAACGATCCAAAGGACCGGCCAAGGTTGAATTCCACCCTTGCACGGGCTCGGGTGGGCTCTGGGACCTCTTTTTCCCGGTGCAAAGGCCCGGATGATTTGGGGCAAGTGTAATCCAGGGTGGGAGCTTCCTTTCTACGGGTTCATATCCATCCCAAGGGTCTTCTTGACCGGCTGGACCGAAACAGTCGCTCCAATGGACCGCCCAAGGTTGAAATCCACCCTTGCACGGGCTCGGATGGGCTCCGGGACCTCTTTTTCCCGGTGCAAAGACCTGGGTGACCGGAGGGAAGTGTAAACCAGGGCGGGAGCTTCCTCTCTACGGGCTCATACACATCCCAAGCGTCCTTTTGACCGGCTGGAATGAGGCAAACGATCCAAAGGACCGGCCAAGGTTGAATTCCACCCTTGCACGGGCTCGGATGGGCTCCGGGGCCTCCTCTTCCCGGTGAAATGGCCCGGATGACCGGGGGGAAGTGTAAAACAGGGCGGGAGCTACCTTTCCACGGGTTCATATCCGTCCCAAGGGTCCATTTGACCGGCTGGAATGAGACAAACGATCCAAAGGACCGGCCAAGGTTGAATTCCACCCTTGCACGGGCTCGGACGGGCTCCGGGGCCTCCTCTTCCCGGCGAAAAGGCCCGGATGACCGGAGGGAAGTGTAAACCAGGGCGGGAGCTACCTTTCTACGGGCTCATATCCGTCCCAAGGGTCCATTTGACCGGCTGGAATGAGGCAAACGATCCAAAGGACCGGCCAAG